CTTCAGCTCTGGGGTCCTCAGCACAAGAAGGACATGGACCTGTTGGAGCGAGTCCAGAGGAGGCCACGAAGATGATCCGAGGGCTGGAGCACCTCTGCTGTGAGGACAGGTCGAGAGAGTTGGGATGTTCAGCCTGGAGAAGGCTCCGGGGAGACCTTAGAGCAGCCTTCCAGTACCTAAAGGGGCCGACAAGAAAGGTGGGGAGGGACTTTTTAGCAAGGACAGGGAGCGATAGGACAAGGGGCAATGGCTTTAAACTGGGAGAGGGAGGATTTAGATTAGGTATGAGGAAGAAATTCTTCCTGGTGAGGGTGGTGAGGCCCTGGCACAGGTTGCCCAGAGCAGCTGTGGATACCCCATCCCTGGGAGTGTTCAAGGCCAGGTTGGATGGTGCTTTGACCAACCTGGTCTGGTGGAAGGGGTGTTGGAATGAGATGATCTTTGAGGTCCCTTCCAACCAAACCATTCTATGATTCTATGTGTGTGGCACTTACTTCTCCGCAGTCACTGTGACCCTGGTAGAGGATGTCCTTTCAATGGCATCGGCCCTTGGGTACATGGGCTTGTATATGTCCGGTTGACTTCCGTACTCGGTGCGTGCACTCCCTGCCTGTATCTGCCTGTACTGCGAATGGTGCTCCATGCCCAGAGACCCTGCTGGTAGGCTTTGCTCCAAGCCAATAGAATGGGAGCAAGCTCTAATGCAAATATATTAAATCATTCAAAATAATAAATCCCTGTGAACACTCGGTGCTGTCAGATCAGAACTGGCATTTCACCAGTTTGAATCACAGGTAGAATGAGCATATATAAAAGAGAAGGGTCTGAGCAGGGATTGTACTCCTGGGGAGGAAGGTAAAGATACAGAAGGCAAGTACAGTGCTTTTTCACACAAATGTGGTATACTCGAGTGCTTTCATGAGGCAGATTTAGTGTGGAGCTTTTTGTGTGTCCTTTTCCAAAGAATAGTTTAGCAGTACAGTAATGGTCCAGAATGTGCTTTTGCGAAGCAAGCTGGAATAACAATGAAGTGAAACTGCACTTTAGACAGGAGGATCTCTTATCTAAACTATTGGATATAGGGTTAGTGTTCCAGCTGGAAAGGCAGATAATGATGAATAGAAAAAAATCACTCCTTTTATTTCACGTAATAGATGTGGAAGTGACCATAGATGACATATATTACTCTCATCCAATCTTAGTAAAAGGTTGGCAAACAATGTAATGTAAATACCAACACAGACCATTGTTCCTGAAAGCATTCCTGAATGCTTTTCTTTTCAAAAGAGAGAAATCAAAAGCTTGTGTAGTAAGAGCTGCAAACCTTACAGCAATTTTGGTATCTCTGGAGATAGCAATTTGCTCTGAACATAACAATCAAAACGCAAATGGTCGTTCAAAGCACTAGCAGTGGAAATTCTTTATTTTATTAACTCTTGGTAACAATACTCTCTCACATTTAGAAGTTCATACAAAAATATATTTAATGTTAAGTCAATCCTTAGTAGAAATTAACACATGCCTGGTTGTTACATTAAATATCTTTATGTCTGTATATAATTTTTGGTTTAAAAAAAAAAGGGAGGGGGCTGACTTCTGGTCCTAATTGTGAGATACCAATTTCTTTGAAGGTCAGCGAGCTGATCCTTTTTAAAACCTTTTAAAAAGCCTTTTTTGAAAGTTTTAAAAAATTGCTGATATGGCAAAGACAGTGGTTTTTTCACTTTCTGTAAAAGGTCACTGGTAAGAGAGAGATTCGAGATCAGAATTTTGTGTCATCTTTCCCTTATGAAAACTCATTAACTGTGTTGTTATTTTTCAATGAGAGAAGGGTAACTCTTTCACGTTTACCCCAGAGTAAGGGCAAATCCGTAGGGATTACTGTGGAGCAACTGGTGTGCTGTCAGATCACATCCTGGCTGACCCCTCTGATACCTTGCTTGCCCGTCCACATGCGTTGCAATAGAGGTCCATGATGTCTTTGTCTGTGAGAAGTAAACGGCTAAATAATTATATAGCGACATGTTCAACCATAAACAATGCTGTTATTCCTTGTGGCTATTCTTGGGCTACCGGGTAACATGATGATGATCAGAGAGTTAGCTATAGTGGTATTTGTTTGTAATGTCAACCATCTGCTGCAGTTGGGCTTGAGAGCTTCCACAGTGTCCCTGGAAGCCAGATTTGAGAAACCGATGCCTTTTGGATGCACTTACGCTCTACTGCTGATATGAGTGGCTTGCCTTTACATCATCCCGAACAGTAGCTAGTAGAGGTGCATACCCCCGTTATCCCAATACCTCCATCTGCTATTTATGAGTCATAGATCTTTAAATATGTGCACACAGACTACAGTGTGGAGAAATTTAGCTCTGGAATGTTACCTGGATATTGGAAAATGTTGATTCTGCTTGAGGATGGGTTAAGTCTTTGCTTGCTGAGTGCCTGAACAGAAATTACTTGTCTCTGTTACCTGGTTGATGACTTTGGCCCTACACAAGGGTTAAAATCTCCAAAAATTTGGAAGATGTGCACAGCACATCTAATGACAGGAAGGCTGAAGTTCTTCCCTGTTTGAACTGAGGACTGGGAAATCCATGAGGAGGGGAAGAGTTTTGGATCTGAGAAACTCTTAAAGCTGGGTTAGACAGTCTCTACGAACTTCCACATCGCGGTCTCTCTTGCACAGAGAGCCCCTGTGTATAAGGTAGCTTGAGGTTCTTGGGGAGCTGTGAGTGTTCTTGTCAGACGGTACCTTGGGAGAAGAACTTTTGAGGCCAGGAGGCAGATATTATGCCTAGGCTTCTTTTCAGTCTACTTGCAATGGCACTATGTGTGTTCTGATTTTTTTTTTTTGGAGGGGGGTGTGTGTGTGTGTACATAAATTCTCCATTTGCCTGACTTTGATTTCTGTGAAGGGTGATTTCCTCCTAACCAGCAAATACTTGGTAAGTTCCAAGGAAGCAGAAAGATAATGGGGCACGTGCTTGAGCCTGGAGGGTCCTGTTGAATTTTACTGCGAGATTATGGGCTGTTTGTTTTAAGGCAAATCAAAGTATCCAGAAGAGATTGACTTGAATATGTGCTATCACTGACAGTCACTTTCTGTTCTTCATCAATATTTCCCCTCTAGAAACTGGGTGCTGTGGTGGTTTCAGGAGAAACATGAAACAAAACCAAATAATGGCAAACATGTGTTTGAGACATTTGATTTCAGTTCATTTCACAGGTATTAAAGTAGCAGAATAGGAAATCTAATTGACTGAAAGTTTCAGGTACACCTGAGCTTTGTTATGTTACAGGAATTATGTGTGTTTGCTTCTTTTTAAGATTAGAGATAACTTGCTCATTAGACTACTATTAGCTGCAGTGCGAAGGGAAACTCTGATAATGTTACTTCTAAAAGAAGTGGTGACTGCTTTAGAAACATATAAGGATATTTGTGTGAAAGTAAATTATCGTATTTATACCTGTAAATGCACAGTATGATGCTGGCCATCTTCTTGATTAGTGTTTTTATAAGATCCTTTTCTAATGAGGCAGTGTCCTGGAGAGTGCTGTAGTAATTTCAAATTGATGTCAACTTGTAAACTTAGTATCTATTATATCTCTTTTAACTTGCCAAGTTAAATTGATGCAATCCAAATACACTTTTCTATTGATGTATACAGAATAGCCAGATAACTGTTTATAGTCTACTTTTTTTCCTACTGGTTATTTGTGATCAACTGAGGTAATTTTTTGTAAATGTTATTATGTGGTCTTTTATACATATATAGTGGAGTATTGGGTTTGTGGGGTTTTTTTTGGTAGGATGTGTGCAGTGTAATTAGTTTTTAGTTGTAAACATTTTGAATTGGGATTCTAAATAGAAACCAAAACGTAATGCAGATAATCATAGCTTTTATCCATGAGATATAGGAAGTTCTATCTGTTATATTAAGAGTGGTACTAAAAACTCTAATAGCTGGATTTTTATTTTACCTTAGTTTTTAAAAAATACATTCTATTTTATATAAAGCTAGCATGGAAACAACTAACTAGGAGACATTATGTTGGAAATAACTTTTTCCTCCTTCATGCAGAGTGCATGGTGTTTGCGAACGTCACACATGTGGGCAGGCTTACTATTTCTTGGATTCAGAGTGAGTTTGTCACTCCTGGCGAGGAAGAAATCAATTGCCAGTAGATCTGATGAGGTTTAGTTTGAAGGTAATTGAAGTTGGACTGTGACAAATCCTTCATACTAATTAATAGGACCAATTTGTTGTGACAAGACCCCCTGTAATTAGCTGACAATTTATAACTGATGAAGAGCAGGGATTGACTTAAAACTTACGACACTTCAATACATTAAGTTAACGTAATTAAAATAAATGAGAACTGCATTTGGCACTCCTCATTTTAATTATGCGAAAGATATGTTTGCATGTTGCTTTGTGCTCATTTGAGCGTGTTGTTTGTTAGTTCAGGTGCTGTGGGTATTATTCTGTCTAGATTTTTAAAGTAAAAACACTATGTGCAGCACAGCTTAACTAATACTCCAGAACTTCACAAATCTCTTAAACGATCTTAAGGCAGTGTTTAGTCTTTCTATGTTGCTTTGGGAAATTAAAAAAAAAAAGTTGAAAATTTCTGTTCTGCATTTCTAATTTAGCTATTTTGAGAAATATGTATATCAACTCTTAATTAAAATATTTGATTATGAATTTATACAGTCATCTTAACCTGACTTTATGAGATATCTTGTTGGAGTAATATTTTGATGGAAGGGGAATACTACTACTTGGTAGAACTTCATTTACCGTCGCTTTCGTGTTTCTGCTGCCATAGCTTGTCTGCTTCTCTAATCTGTTTTATATAGTGGTGGTACACTTCTTTAAATAGTAGTATTTTTTGCTCTGAAACTGTATGTTTTTATTCATCTTCAGTGTTCTTATTTCTTTACAGATATTGATGTACGAAATAGCATCTAAACTACTTATTTTCTTCTCTTCCAGGCTGCTGAATCAGGAATAATAAAAGTGAAAACAATAGCTGCACGGAACACTGATATTTTGGCAGGTAATTATTTGCAATGCAATGGGAAAAATAAACTTGGGTTAGAGATCAGAATGTTAAAAAGATGTCTTGGATATATGTAATAATCCTACATGTCTTTTAGTGTTTGCTGTATCAATGATGCTTTGCTTTTGGGCACCTAGCAAAAAATCCAGTAGCATGAGAATTTTTTAATGCTACTTCTGTTTCACGTTAGTGCTATACTGCTGCTGAGGAAAGTCTCCATTTTCAGTTGTGGATCTACAAAAGTAATCATCCACTTAGAAAAATAGCATAAAATTCTTAGACTCCAAATTCTCAGTCTTTTATTCACTGTCTACATTCACCGCGGCTGTTGTTGAATGCTCTGTGTGGAGTTCTGCAGTATGATCCTCATCTGTGTGTTTAGTATGAGAGTCTAGCCTTTGGAGACTTGTACCTGGCAAGCAAAAATCCGTCTTAATCTGAGCAAGGTCATTCAATTTAAGATGTATCATTGCCTTGGGGGCCAGGAGATATCTTCTGAGTTGCAGCTTTGTAAGTGCTTGAAACAGTATCTCTGACTTTCTTCAGCTTTATTAAATAGCATATAAATTGATGGCTGCTTGCCAATTGCTAGTAAAGCCTTTGGCCAGATTTTAATGTCCTTGTATTAATACTCGAGTGTCTACCCCAGCGGTAGTCAAATCCTTAAAATGCTAAATTATTTGAAAGGTCCAGATGAAATAGATGTAAAACTATTTCTTGTTTTGAGGTATGTAAATCAGATATTGGTAAGGAGGCACGTTCTAGAATTATTTGAAGTAGCAGTCCCACCCCTCAATATTTCACTTTAATGCCTCTTTTTTATTTCTTTATTTTCTTTGTTTTTACTGCTGTCATGAATGCTGACATAAGTGGGAAAACTATGCCAGGTAATGTCAGCTATATCAAAATACACAAATGAACAAGGGAAATCTCTAGTTAGCCATTTGGGAAGCTGTCAACATTCTTTGGCATGTTACTGTGAAAAGAACTTTATATTTTAGAAAGCTAATTTTTAATCCTGCAAAATTCTTTGTTTTGTAATCTTCATTTCAAAGTGAAGAGTTCATAGAATAATTATGGTTGGAAGAGACCTCAAAGATCATCAAGTCCAAAAGATGTGAAAGATCATTGATTTTTAGGCATGGATAGGCAATCTTTACTTTTATCTTTCTGAGCTAACGCTTCCTGGTAGTTGGTGAAATTTTGTAAGTACTTTTCCTTTGGAAGGTTTAAACTAGAACGTAGTTGGTATTTATTTAATTAATCAAAAATATTGTGCAGATTTGTTGTTATGAGGTTTGGAAAACTAGCAGGTCCTAAAAGTTATTTTTTGATTTATTAATCTTTGCTAATAGGATAATAACTTTTTTCCCAGTAAGAAACTGCAGAATAGAGGGGAACATATACTTTGCCTACACATTATCCCAGCATTCCACAGTTGAAATATAGTGCCATTAAACAGTCCCAGTTCTTTGTGAACTCTTGTATTTTTCAAAGTGTCACTTGTAACCGAATCTTGTAGACAAGTTAATTTCAAGATCTCTGTTGTCTCCTATGTGCTATTTAAATTTTTTGGGGGGAGGAAGATAGTACATATTCTTTAGTAATAACAAAGCTGCAAAATGCTAGTGTAATTGTGAAATCTAGTGAAGTAAATACTTTTTGACTGCTAGATGATTTAGGAACATCTACTAGACATTCTAGTAATCCAAATAAATATTTTGATCAGGATATGATTTTTCATTATATTTTGATGTAAACTGTCATTTCACTAAAATAGATGAGAACTTATCATGTTATTTTGAATAAACTGACCTGATGCTTTCTTGAAGCATTACACTGGGTAGGATTGTAATTTTTAGGAAAATAGATGCAATCTTAAAATCTTTATTATGTCTGGTGAGATGTGTTTAACTTGCTAGAACTCTGAGGTCATTGATCTAACTTCTTTCTTTCTCTTGGAAAAGTTAAGTTGAGCACTTTCACAGTCTTCATTCTTGGCAGCCTGTACATGTTTTATAATTTTTCTAAGAGGATTTGAGTAATTCCAAAAGAGAAGTCAGCTTGTGCTTTATATCACAGGAGATACATGTGAGAATTTATTTCCACGTGGCTCTGAGATGTGCAGTTTATACTTTTGTTTTAGAAGTTCTGCTAAAAAAATTAGAACTATAATCTTGCTGATGGAATGAAGGATTAAGTTTTACTTTTCCAAAACTTCTTTTTTTGTCATTCATTATGTTAGATTTATTTTTTAATATATTCTTACATAACTGTGGTAGCAAAATAGAATCAGACCTGGATAGAAGAAAATTTTTATATATTTGAAGACTGAAGCTAATATAATAATCGGTGCCAAACCAGATCTATAAAACATTAGTTTTTCAGCTTCATCAAGTAAAAATCTTTCTATAGATCCTGTTGTGAGATTGTTTCTAATGAATTACAGGAAATATACTGTAAAAGGTTTAAATTTTTCTTTGTCCTGTTATTTATTAACTCTTATGCCATTTTTGCCATTCAGAACTTTGTCATGAGTCTTATGTGAAGGATAAATGTTTTGTGGTATCTTTTTAAAAATTTTGCTATCTTCTTTCTGTTTGATGGTTAGAATTTAGTGGCAATTCAGAAATGTAGATGAGTGAAGAAGTATTTGCGTCCATGTTAGATTGAGCTCCCCAGGCTCTGTTGGCCATGTGTTGTAGGTGTTCATAGACTATAAAGGCAGCTTAGACATCTAGCTTACATGTAGACAGTGACAATTAGATGCCTAAATTACATGCCTTAATTGGGAACACGCTTCCATGTTTGATAAAGTAGCCAATGTTCTGTTTTTAATTTGAAAATCATGGAGTGTTTTGTAAGAGAATGGTATTGATGGATGTGGTTTACACTGTGTATTTTAAAAGCAGATTTAATTCCTTTGTAGTTAAGTTAAAAAAACTGTTGAAATCAAAGCAGATTGTTAAACAGTCAACAAACCTATGTATGCATTCACATTTATGCTGACATTTTAATTGGTTTTGATCAGGCATCTGGTGCAAGGTCAGCCTCTGTCAACTGGACGTAGAGCCTGTACTGGCTCTGAAGAGGCTGATGAAACTATGGACTGTATATGTGTTAATATCACCCTGTAAGAGTGATTACCTTATAGAAAGTTTGCATCTATAATTATACTAACCTATTCTTTTCATAGAAACTTGTTAGTCATGTTAGTTAGTGCTTTGGTTGAAAAATATCACTAAAATATATTTTTGTAGCTTTACCTTGATGTTTGAATTTTTTTCCCAAATTAGTTGTAGTGGCACTTAATAGTAAACCCTCTTGTAAGCCAAACTTCACATTGCTCAATAGAAAAAAATAAAATAGATCATGTTTGCATTTTTATGTGAGAATGTATTTTTTGTTTGTGGTAAGGTCTGTGTTCTAAAAATGTGTGTCAAACTTTTTCATGAACACGTCTCTTATTACACATAGACTAGAACATGGTATATGGCATTCAGTGTAAGAACACACATAGAACTTTCAACTATGAGGAAATTTTTAGTATCTGAAATGGTGATGAGCACCTAAAATTTTAAAAGTTTGCATGAATCAACACCCACGCCTGCAAACAGAAAGGCACTCATCAGAGTCATGCTTTCCTTTCATCTTTGTGGAATATTATGTTCATTGTGATGTTTTTATTTTCTCCTAAAAAAAAAAAAGTAGTTCATGAAACTTGCATTTTCTCCTGACAAAGCTTCATTTTAAGAAGCTGCTCTTTCTCACTAAAACACTGGTTGAAAAATTCTCAGCCAGGTGTACGCACCCAGGATACAAACAGTCCAGTCGCTCTCTCCTCCTGTTTTTTTGGTGGCCTTTTGCTATTCCCCTTCATGCCGCGTGCTTTGGTGTCTTGCTTTGTGCCACACTTTGTGTTGCTTTTGAATTTGGTGCTGAGGTGAAGCAGGGCAGGAGGAGAAGGCTGCCAGCCTGAGGCTGGTCATTGCTGCCAGGCCAGAGAAAGCTCTGGGGCGGGCAGAACCTTACAGCTTCTTACTAACCACATGGACTCCAAGTGGACGTTTTGGATTTGGAAAGAGAAAGTCACTTGAGTGTGTAAAGGAGAAGGTGCTTGGGATTTGAGCCTCAGCCAGGGTAATTGTGGAAGTGAGCTGTGGCAGCCTGGTGTCCATTTTCACTTGGATTTTCCCTGTGGTGCAAGAGTAAATCCCAAATTTCCGAGACTGGAGATTGCTTTTTGTTAATAGGTATGATTAACAAATTTTGCATTGTGTTCTTCTACATATTAAACATTGACTGCTTCCATATCTCTTTTCAAAAGCATTGAAAGAGAACAGCTCAGAGGTAGTTCAGCCTTTTCTAATGGGTTGTGGAACAAAGGAACCAAAGATCACTCAGCTGTGTCTAGCAGCCATACAGAGGCTCATGTCCCATGAAGTGGTTTCAGAGGTAAGATCAATCTTTATATATATACATACATATTTCAGTGTGAGAAATACAGGCCTCAAACTGAAGGTGAATGCCTGTTTTTTGGGGCTGTTTATATTATAATGAACATAGTTGTCAAATATATTACTCATATCTATTTTAAAAAAATTGTAATTTAAAAGAAACCCTTTTTGACCATAAAAAAAAAGGAAAAAAAACCTAAAACGATGAGATTTCCTTCTAGTAACTTCTAGAAGGAAATCCATGAGAACTCAAACCAGCTCATTTAATTTGCATTCTTGCACTGCAGAAACAGAACATGGTCCTTGACAAATGTAATTCTTAAAGTTGCATCCACAAAATATACTGTGTGATAATGTTATGTATCATGTTTTTGTTACATTTTACTTTTAAAAATAAGATAAAATGGATGCACATTTCCTGCAACTGTAAATGTCATGATGTATTATTGTACATTAATTATAGTGCATTAAGAAGCTGGTGAAAATAATACTGTTAAAATATACCTTCAGTTGTGCTTGAGTAATGTAAAATTGCACTGTGTTTTCCTCTGATATGAATGAATTTTGAGGGTAAAATGTCTTTGTACTGTCTCTTCTATATTTCCAAGTAGAAAATGAAATATGCACTTTAATTTGGACTACACATTAAGAGGTTTCTGCTATTGATTCTTTAAAAATATTTTGGGAAGCTTGTGACAATGAAATTGGCTTTATGTTCTCAATGTAGTCCCATGGTATAGACAAACAAGCAAATTCAGTTATGATAGGCATTTATGAGAGTGCTGTTCTTACATGCGTACACATGATATGCCAGTATGTAAATATCTTAATCATTGGCAAAAAATTATTTCTTTGTAGGCTGCAGCAGGAAACATTATTAATATGCTTTGGCAACTGATGGAAAATAGTCTTGAAGAACTTAAATTGCTCCAGACAGTTCTTGTACTTTTAACAACCAATACAGTTGTGCATGATGAAGCACTGTCCAAGGTAAGAATTTGTTAGTGCCAACTGTAGTCCTTAGAATATGCAAGAGGAAAAACAGGGAGAAATTTTACATATGAAGCATTTGGAAATAATGGAAGAGGAGGGACCTTTCTTGATTCTGTTGTGTCCCTACTGTCTTTATATCTAGACTCTGAAAACAGGATTTCTTTTAACTTCCTTTTCAATCTGTTTTTTAATTCCTTCACAATAATAGATTTCTGACTTAATGGGAACTTTAAATAAAAACATTGGGCTAATGCCTATCCTCATCTGCTAAATTCATCGTATGTATGTTTTTGAACTGAAATCGGAGCACATAGCACAGTGTAAGCTCTCACCAATAAAGCAAATACTAGAAGAAGCTGCCTGCCACCCTGCCTTAAATCTCTTTCAGAAGCAGTCCAGTTACTGCTCTTTCAGTCAGAACTGAAATAATTTCATTGCATAATTTCAAACATGTGCCATTTTGGATATTATGTTTCAACTAAGACAAAAAATAAGGATGCGGATCCATTTTAATCTTAAATTACTAGATACTTCTCTCTGAAGGAGCAACATTGTTTACCCATCTGTGAATTGTGGAGCTCTCTTTAAAGTAAGTTCCTCTTCTAGATTACATTTTATAATTTTTTCCCTTTAACTTATGAAAGTTTTGTTTTTTTGTTTTTAAACAAACAATTCTAAATTGCTGTCTTTGTTATGCTCTGCCTTCAGTGTATTGATTTAATATCAGAGTGTGTATTGGGTTTTTTGTGGGTTTTTTTTTGGAGGCGTGTTGGATGAGAGAGAATATAATTGAAGAATATTTTCAAAGGCATTCTGTTCTGGTGGAAGGTTTTCAGTTTTAGTTTGCTTCTGATTTTAATGAAGTCACTTCCTAGCTGGTTAAATGTGTGAATATTAAAGTCATTATTAATCTACTTAACTAAGGGAAGGAAAAACACGAAAAGAAAACAAAGCTAAGTTACAAAGGTCTACTGAAGGCAGGAAGATAATGGGGAATTTGTAAAACCTATAAATGACAGACTAGAAACTTGCTAAGGATTGAATTGTTTGTCAGTAGATTCTTTTTTCACTTGAGTTCTCAAATTATGTCAAAGACTCTTCAGTACTATCTTGTTTCTTTTGTTCCAAATAACGCTCATTTTCCAAATGAGGTGCTAACTTCTTGGGCAGAAGCATGATTTTTGAAGAAAACAGAAATACTTTAGAAAGTGGGATTGTCAGTCATTAACAGGGTAGCAGATGTTCTTTAACAGCCTGCAGTGTTGTCATTTTATCAAGCTTGAATCTAGACTCCAGGAGACAGTTGCTGTTTAAGTCCACCATAACTTTCCCTTCTGCATAACATATATCTGCTTCTCACCACTTCCCTCGCTTATTCTTCTTCCCCTGCCTCCATATACCCTTTCTCTCTCCCCCCGCCCCCTTATTCTTAGGTTCTTGGTGTCTACATCTGATTTCACTTTCTTTTTTAGTGTGTGTCTTCCAAACATATTATTCAACATCCTTTATTTGTTCCTCTCTCTAATCTCTAGAAACTTTCTCCTTTTGGACACGAACTACAAGAGCATGTGGGCACAGCAGTGTCAAATAAGTAGGGAAGGTCTTTCCCAGAATGTTTTTCTCTTGTCTTGTGTCCTGATCCAGAAGCATGCTCACATAATACAATTATTGGAGATTCTAAGTGCTGTACTTCTAACAATTTCCTTACGGCATGTTAAAATCGAGTACTTTTAGAAATGTATAGCCAAATTTGGGCAGACTCTGACAGGGGTAAGAAAAAAACATTCCTGACAGAGCAATATCCTGTAAAACTTCTTGGTGTTGTCCAAGGTCTGAAATTACTAGAGTTTCTCAGTTAGCCAAATATAAGCATTACTTGGCATGGGTTAAATGGTGCAATGGTTGAATTGTGGGGGGGCCCCCCTGCCCCCCCCCCGCCCCGATTCTTCTGAGAAATATCTGAAAGTTGGTGGGTTTTTTTTTTTCCCATGTTGAAAAGTTTTTGGAGAACATCAGTTTGAGCCAGGCGTATATTGCATATTCCTGTTTCAGCTTGACTGATTTAAATGAAGAAAATAATTGGTAAACTGTCTTGAAAAGCCCCTTTAATAGAGGCACCACTGTTAGATTATTTGAGTCACGGAGGCGAGCAGCTCCAGTGCCGACAGGATCAGCAGCATGGCGCACAGCGGGGTTTGCTGAGCTGGTGGAACCTCAGGGGATGCCGAGAGACCCGCCAGGACCCTGCTGCTCGTGCCACAGCGGCTGATGGGCCCTGGGCTGGTCCAGGAGCAATGGCAGCCAAGCCCCCTCCACCCGTATGAAAGAAGCCCTTAGGGAGTGCCAGCAACCAGGGCGGGCAAACAGGTCATGGTGCAGCAGTTTGTACAGCAGTTTGCGCCGAAGGGCATACAGGAAGGGCACTGAAGCCCTACCAGCTTGACCAGGGAGCAGCGGTATATGCCCGGCAGAAAGCCATGGCCTCTCTAAGCTCTGCCCCCACCGTGACTGGAAGTTTCCCAGACATAGCTATGGTGCGAACACGCTGCCACAGCGGTGCCATGCTGCCG